TTCCTGGGCAGAGACCTTGTAAGGCATTGTGCAGTGCTATCCCACGTGCCCCAGCTGGCCTTTGGATGGATTTATTGTTGCTAAATGTGGTTGAAAGGCAAGTGGAAAAGGCAGCTGCCTGTTGTGGCAGATTGTGGGGGGCAGGTGACAAACTGTCTGATACGGCCTGAAGAGATGGGGGGTCCCACCTGATCTGAATGGCTTATGTCCATCGACCTCTCCAGCTAAGTGCTGATTTCACATATAGCCTTGAAGGAGCATCACAGAGCAGCAATTTAAAGAACAAGTTTTCAGAATTTCCATTATAGTTTTTAATATTGATAAATGCTAGCAAACTTAGCAATAGTGAATCACACAAAACATTTAAGAATTATACACAGCCAATGCTTGGGAGCAGTGTCCTCTTTTCCTCACAATGCCATTCCATGGTGTCTTTATACCTTCTTCACACACACATTTTTTTGTATCAGAGATGCTTCCCATTCAACATCCCACAGATACACCCACCTTGTGGAAGGACACACTATCCCATAGCTCTTTAGTGATGTAAATCACTGATTTGAGAATAAATGAAGGTAAGGACAGGAGCTCTCACAAGTGTTACTCCAGATGCTGGCCCAGTTTCACAAGCAACCTAATCTGAAGAACCATTTTGAAATCATGAGTTCCCTTCTTTTACCAGGACTAACCAAAGAAAAGTGCTCTACAGACAACTGCCTGACATATTTGCAAGACACATATTGCCCCACTTTTCAACCTACAGTTCAAAAATGAAAAGTACAGGGAGTACTGTAATGTGACCTTGAAGCTCAAGCCTATACCTCATTTCAAGATCCCTAGTTATGCAGAGTAAGCTTTGGTTTACTTGTAAGACCAGTTGCCCACCAGGCTGGGAAGCTAAAGCAGAAAGCAAAGGTTGGCATTTTGCCCCTTAAAGGCAGCCTGGGCACAACAAGCTGAATGCGTGCTCTTACATGATCACTGCTGGGAAAACATTCTGCAGTGAACTCAGCTGTGTCCAACTTCTAGGTATCCAGTCCTGGAAGTGCATTTCACAAACCCAAAGCAGATGCTCCAGAGCACAGTATGCAGAAAGCTTACGTCCTGAGAATGGAATTCGAAAGGAACAGAGGAGCGCGGGAATGTTTTGCAAGTCTCATCTATTATTTACCCTTCAAAATATTTTCTAGGATTTGGGTTCCATTTTATCCCTTTATGTTTCTAGCATGACTCATTCACACTTTTCTTCTAAAATACAACCCCCAGAGGGTACAGCGATGGATGATGTCAGTGGTGCTGTGTTTAGGTTACTTCCCTGAGAAGCGTCTTCTCATCAAGAAGGGATCCAAAGATGCATCTCAAAGCCAGACATTTCCCTGTGCCTCCCCATCCCAGCCTTTTGGTTATAAATTACCAAGTTTGCTGTGCCTAGTGCTAAATGCAGTGCTGTCAGGGTGAGGGAGATGGGTTCTCTGAGCACGTGGGCGCCACCAGACCCGTGAAAATTAAACACACGAAGTAAGCCCAGCCATAAAAGCCACACATTTGTATATATGCAGTTGCAGGGTGTTATATATAATATAATGTTAGCAATGAAAACGTCAACATTTAGACATTCCTGAAATCATGCATTTCACATAAGTAATAAATTAGTTAGGTGACTAACTACCTTTTGAGATTTTTGACCCAAAGATGTGATGTGCTGCTACATTTGAGGGATACGTGAAGGAGTGAGTTCATGTCTTCTACAGTTTAGTCTAATAAAATTTTAACTAAATCATCTTTTCCTCGATCAAGAAATAGGAGACAGGTGCTCTAGTTTCTAATTCTGCCATGGTTTCAGACCTGCTGCTATTATGTTGAGTTTCTACATTTGCAGTAAAGTTGGGTACCACTTTTCCCTCAGAGGAAACTTATTTTTAACTTTAAAATATTCAAGATAATTAATGTTTCATTGGGGTATTTTGTTTTGTTTTGTAGGTTGGATTTTTTAAAGCTACTTTTGTAGAGCTTGAATAATTATATTCAGGAAAAGTTAATAGAGCAGAGAGTAGAAATGTAGTAATTGATACTGAAAGAATTTAAAGGAAGAAGCATGAGCAAAAGCCTGGAGGACGATTTGTATGGCTCCAGTCAGCTTTCAGTTCTTGATGTCTGCTCACCTGCAGTACAAGGAAAATGTTCTGGAGGGGTTGATTTTTAGAGAAGTAAAATCAGACTGTGTATTTAAAAAAAAAAAAAAAAAAAAAAAAAAGAAGAAAGGAACTAAGAGGTTTTGGTTTGGTTTTTTTTGGTTGTTTTGTTTCCAGTGGTATGGAAATATAACTGGGAAACCAAGAAAGTAACTTTCTGGAATAATCTTTCCAAAGAAAGAGCCCCATGAACAATTATGACAAAAGTCGAAGACTCTGCAATGGCAACATTCCCCCACTGATGATACCATAAGGTGAAATGGTTACCTTTGTTCCATTCTTGGCCATGTGGCTCTGGAAAAGTGGGAAGCAGCTTATGCTGGCATTGAAGACAATAGTCTGCTTTCTGTTACAAAAGGGAGAAAAAGAGACAAATAGCAGTATTCACTTTCTCATTCCTGAATAGAAAGTTCAACAATAAAATGAGGAGTTTGATGCTGGAATGGTTATGTTTGGGATTCTCTTCCTCCCAAATTAATACAAAAGATGAGCTGCAGTTCAGAAAGGCAACAACATTTGAGAACTCTGATTTTCCATTACTTAATGTAACAATGAAGTGCTGCTTTTGGCTTTGCCAAAACTTTGATGGAAAAAACCCCAAACAACTGAAGCTGCCTGTTTAGACTTACTCAATGTAAAAGTCTGCTGCAGCCACAAGTAACACCTCATTCAGGGTTTAAAGATGTGCAATAAAGGAAATGCTGCTTTTAACCCATTGCAATTAAGTGTATGCAGATAAGAAAAGGCCTGGGAGAGAAAGGACCGCGATCCTCAGCAAAATTAAGCTGCTGCTTATGATTGCTGGGTTTGACAACAGGAAGAGGCAGAAGTAGCTTCTCTCTGAAGTCGTCCAAGCCGTTCCCTGGTTCTTTCCCTGCCTTTTGCAAGGGCAGCCATATAAGGCAGCCAAAAGGGAGGGACCCTGCCTTCCTTAGGGTGGGACTTGATAAGCTGGGGGCAGGGCCAGGCAACTCCTCTGCCTGCACCTATCCAGGGAATCTGCTGTATGGAGCCGAGGCAGCAGCCAAGAGAAGGAATAGGACACGCAACAGGAGAAAGTAGGTGCTATTTGACAGCTGGTTTCTGTGCTGTGTGTCTGTGGGATCCCTTGTTTTGATGAGCCAGCGAAGGTGTATCAGGTAGCTTTGTTTGCCACTATGGGTAGCCAGCCTTTGCTACAAGCACTTGTCTGGGCAGCCTCAGCATCCTAAAGTGATGAATGTGCTTCTCATTGGTACTTCTGTACCTGTTGTAGGTTGACTTGGATGAAGGGGTTTGTGTTTTAATTTTAATGTTTGGTTCCTCCATCTTTTGTTTAAGAAAACTGATGAGGGAAAGGATGTACTTCTCTATCTGCTGCAGGACTGTTGTAGAAATGTGAACTGATATTTGCCTTTCCATGACCAGTGTTAAGAAATGAGCACAGTGTAACAAATCATGTTAGAATGCATAGATGTAAATATTTTGTGGAGTAACTTGGAGGCTCTGTTCAGATGATAGTTCATGCAATACACATGAAGATCTTTAAGCAACAACCAAAAATAAGCTTCGTTTAAAAAGAGGGGGTGAAGGCTGAAATTCTCTCTCTCTAAAATACCCTATTTTGCTGAAGCTAAAGTAAATCAAAATGTAGATGTGTCTTCTGACAGAGGAGCAGTCCGCTGCAACACCTTAATATGTGGGATTTATATTGCAGATAACACAGTACATTATAATGTGCCATTACAGACGTAATTTTGACATTAACATCAGCAATGCATTGAAGTTAAAGTCACCTCTCATGATACTTTTAATATTCTCAGCTTTTCATAATGTTTTCATATTTTCATTTTAGCTAGGTATTTCAAATGAGGAAGCTTTTCATGGTGGTATGTAAGAAATAAGACAGTACAAAAGACAGCTGCTCTCAATCTCACAAAGTTATTAATTAATTAAAATACTAAATTAAATTTAAATACTCTGCTGAGTATTAGCAGCAATTTAAGTCTGCCACATGAAACATATATTGATCTAGAAAAACCTTATTGTGTATTCTGCTTTTTCTAAGTACTTGTTTAAGAGTAGCTGCAAACACGAAATGGCTTGAGGAAAATTGAGAATCGGTTCAGGAGTCCTTGATCTTTTTCTTTCTAGCAATAATAACCTCCTGATATCAGTTAGCATTAATGACATTATCTTTTTTTACACTTGAGAAAAAATGTTCCAGAGTACCATGGACTGCAAGATCAGATCCCATTAGGTGACTGAAATAATTTATTCAAGTCCTAAAGACTTAAGACCTCTTGAAGTGTAGGTGTTGAAGTTCAAACCTCATTTGGGTGTGTTTGGGGAAACAGCAAGTTTATGAATTCCAGGAAATTTTCACAATTCCATCTCTAATCAGGACACTTTAAGAACTACTCAGCTTAAAATGGTCTCATAGGATCAGGTCTCAAGACAGCTCTGCTGCTCTACGAATGTTGCATTATTTAAATAGTTTTAATGTTCTTTCTTAATGTAACATTGAATCTTAATTTTCTTTCTTCCTTCCTCCAGAAGTCTCCACGCTTTCCTTTCCCAGACACTCTTGTTACATCTGGTGTCTAGCACGTGTCATTGTCTGATACATTTTTCTGATTTAATTTCAGAGGCTGTGAGTGACAGCAGGTGACAGGCTGACAGCTCACACTTGTGTCACAGCGAAGCTCTGTGATAACAGCACAAAGTCATCGGCTGCTGGAGAACACACTGGACAGGGAGGACATACAATACCTTCTTCATGATTTTAAATATTGATCAGAGTTAGTAATACCTGTGCATTGTTACAGGATGTCCTGTGATAGTGGAGAAACTGTTGGGTACCCCATGGATAACCGCTGTGGAGAGGAACAAGGCTCCACTTTTCAGCTGAGCAACATGAATGGAAATAGGAAATCTGCAGCATTGCTGGGAGCCAGGGGGAACTTAAGCAGCATGCAGTATTCTTCCGTGGCGCTGGATCCAGAAACCTCCATGAATAATGGCTCCAGGATTCCCCAGAACCCCGAGGAAGGCACAAAGGCTGCAGCCTTGGCGGAAGGCGAGGCCGGCAGGGCCCGCACCGTGGAGTGTTTCCGTGGCCGCTATTTAACTAAAACCAGCACTCAGGGAGACGTCTACAACTTCCTGGAGAGGCCCAGTGGATGGAAGTGTTTTATCTATCATTTTGCTGTGTAAGTACCTGCGTTTTCACATGGTCTTTGGTGTGAGAAAGATCTGAAACGGGCCACTTAATCAGCCAGAAATCAGAGTACTTGAGGTCCTGGGCTGAAAACCTGTGGCGTGAGTAATCCCACTGAAAGTGATGGAAAAGCCGGTGTCTCGAAGGATCAGCCACTGTATCCGTTAACATTTCCAGAAGAGGGCTTTCTGATCTTCAAATGGTATTTGTTTTCAAATATGTAGACTGTATATTTGGTGTTTCTGAGGGTTAAGTCCTGTATGCTCATGGCAGTGTCTGTTGCTGATTTAGCTGCTTTACATTGTTGTCGCTTCAGACACTGCAATTTTTATCATGAGATGGGGAAGGTTCAGCTGTGATCAGGTGCATCGTGCTTTCCTGAGTTTGTTTTGCTCCTGCTAAAATACCAAAACAAGTAATTTGTTAGACAAACATGTAACCATAACATCACTAATTTGAACTGAGTTATAGTAAAGAACATGTAATGAGTACAAATTTAGCAAAATGTTTTTAATTATACCGTGTGTGTAGTAAAAGCAAGGAGAAAATTAAGACTTCCATTTACCCTTGTAAAACAGTGGTTAACATATTAATTTAACAGTAACAGCTGTTACTGTTTTCTTTGAGTTGCTTATGGTATCTGTCAAGTTTAGCAAGACCTCAATTACTGTTTTGAATGCTGCTTAACAGAATGATAATTTGTCATCTTAGCTGTAGGAAGGGTCCAGTTGTGCTCTCACTGAGGCCAGAGGAAGTTTTACTGGCTGGAGTGAATGCAAACTGAGCCAAAAGGCCTTGTTTTTATTATAAAATTAGCATATGTCCTAAAGAGATGCAGAGTGTTGAAATTATGCTGTTTGTCTCAGATGAACTTTTCCATGGCCTGACTTAATTTTGGAAAAAACATCAGTTACTGCAGTCAGGAAGTGTCCAAAGAAATATATGGTAATTACAAGGATGAATCCTAATGCTTCCATTTGGCATAAAATAGATAGTCTTATTAATACTTGCTTCCTTTCACCCCCTCAACATCATACAGGGATTTTTTTTTAAAAGGAGTTTTTGATTCATTAAATTTCACCAAGTAAAAGGATAGAGCCTCTTTTAAGGACTATGCTTAAAGTATATAATAATTCTTAAGGATTAAACAGATGTAATTTGTGTATATTTTAATATGCAAATAGTCATGATTTAAGCCTATTTGAGATTAGGATTTACTAATCTTGCTAAAGTGCATTTGTTTCACCATCTATGTTGCTTTTATCTCTGACTTAAAGGTTGACCTTTAATATGCACTTTATATTCTGCAATGGGCATTAAAAAAAACCAAAATATAAAATTCTATACACCCTCTCCACACTAGAAAATTGGAGAAAATATTGGGTTTTTTTTTTAAGCAAGAATTACTAACTTAAATGAAAGAATATGTAATCTGACTGCTTTTAAAAGTTTGGGCTTTGTTTTTTTTTTTTTTTTTTTGAGTTGCTTGAAAGGAAACATTTGAGACATAGTTTTTGGCAAGAATTTTGTCTGAAAGATATTTGTCCTAATAATTATCCCAATAACTACATGGTGTGCTCATCTATGTAACAAGTTTCTGTTTTGGAAAGAACATGCTTTACAACATTAAATATTATTAAAGTGAAGCATAGTTAAAGAAATAAATTACTAGTCTAAAATACAATAAATTTTATAATGAGAACAACCTGTGACTAATTTTTAAAAGGTTTCCCATATTATACATGTGTGTTTGGGGTAACTTATATACAGTTGATCTGATGATTATGATTATTTTCGCAACAAGTCCAAACTTTCAAGCTGGTATTTGTGTAGCCTGGAGGAGCTGGATGTGCACTGTCCCTTCACTGTTGTTTTGGCCTTCATATGCCACAAAGACCTCATAACTTATGTACAAACTTGTGGGAACCTTCTGTCCAAGAGGCACTGGAGTCTGGTCTGATCTGGAGCCAGTTCTGCTAGAAAGAGGATAACTTTCCAAAACCTGGTAAAGCAAGTGCTCCAGGAGGTGACCTTCTCTCATTTTGAAATTACCAAGATAATCTCATCTCCTGTAACATTTGCAATGTGTCTGATACTTGAAGTTTCTTTTAAGGGAATAAACTCATGGTTCTTAAGGAATGTTACAGCACATGCTAGAAAAGAGAATTACCACTGAGTAATTAAACCTAGAATTTGTGTTGTTTTGGTGCAGTTATTCTAAGGTGAAATTATGGTTGGAAAACAAAATGTTTGCAGGGGTGAATGGGTTTGCTTGAGAATTTCCCCTCCCAATCCTGAAAACCTTCTCACTCAGGTACTTTTCAGCTTCACTGGACTACTTCAGTCCTACAATACCCCAGAGCAGAGGATCTCAATGAGAAGTTAACAAGAAGTGAGAGCTTGAGAAGCAGCTGTCACATGCAATGACAATACATTGATCATAACCAACCAATCCTTGTGGCTATGTAGGAGCCTTCAGGTATCGGAGATCACATGTATTAAAGTTCAGCTATTTGCCATATGGCCCTTTTTTCTGGTCCAGAAAAAGAAGCATGTGCCTGGCTCGGATTTGATTTCTAAACTCAGCTATGTACTTGCTTAAAAATCACATCCAAATGTCAAATTTTATCTCTTAAATGAAAAATACAATACATACGATAATGAAGGTTCTGGGCAAATATACACATTTAAATAATTTGGTTGCAAATGGAATCTTATTTGTGTGATGAATTTGTTTCTGAAACATTTATACATTTAATTACTACTGGAATGGCTCCATTGTAGGCTAGAATATTGTGTGTATTTGGCTAAATACATGTGAACTGAGTGGTGAGGGGTGAAGTCAGACAGTTTTCATGATAAGAAGACTCTTGCCCCTTATTTAGACACCAGGCAGCAGTGATCATAAACCAAAACCAGAATCAACTGTAGGTCCTCAAAGTGCTAGAATGGCAGTGCAACATTTCCCACCACAGTTCCAAGTCTTTGTGGGTCACCTTGGCCATAGACAAAGGGTGGACGAGAGAGTCCAGCTCCTCCATGTGGTGAAACATGGACAGAGAAGAACCTGGGACGGAGACAGAGAAGTCTAGACTGGTTTATTATAGAACCTGAGACTGGTGCCAGTGATGCTGAAGCTGGAGGAAAAGCAATACAAGAGCAGTCTAGCTCAAGGACTGCTCTATCTCAAGAGAATCTGATTTAAGCAGGAAGGATGAAGGAAAAAGGACTGGCAGGTTTTGGAGATCAGAAGGCTGGATATAGGCTGAAAGAGTTGGAACTGTGGGACAGCTGAAAATGGTCAAGAACCTCAGAGAGCCACTGGGGGGAAGAAGGGGCAGGAGATGACAGCTGGAAGCTAGGGAAAAGAGGGAGCGTGGAATTCATGATGGGACAAGGAACCTTTCACCCACAGGCAACTGGTTTGAATCTTGTCCAAGTCAATAGTGAAGAAGTGGTAATGACTGTGGGGAGATACAAAAGGAGCTGTTGGTCTCAGTCCAGTTCCTAGCAAATGGATGTCAGCATCACTGCTAGAGTTAGCACAGCTGGAAGGGTTCCTGGCAGGCCCTAGAGAAACCACAGGCTGGTTGAAAAGGGAGGCAAGTCAAAGTCAAAAGGGAGGCCCATGGGAGGGACCCTTAGATTGCATTCTCAGGCCTGCCATTTTCTTACTGTATAACACTGTGGAAGTTTAAGGGAGAACTTGCAGCTGTTCCAGGTTACTTCATGCTGGTTTGGCCACCTCTTAAATGAGTGTTAGACCTTGCACTCATTTAAAAGTTAGACAAGCCTTTATATCCCATGATTTCCTATGGGATGAGGTGAGCTGATCTAGCAGCTCATTGCTAACAAACCACCTCTAGTTCTGCTCCCCTCATCCACCTTCACCATTCAGCTTGCTCCTGCCACCTCTGGTTGTCCTTGGTTATACTTGGAGAGCCAGTTCAACTTACTATACCAGCAGGAACACAGGCCAATATGGGAAAAAGTGGATGGTCTTCTGCCAGGTTAGTAATACACGTTCAGCACCTTGAAGAACTGTCTACTATTGTTCTTTTAGTGCTCCTCGTGGGTCGTAATCACCTGTTGAATTTCATATAAAATCGTACCTAGTAATTGCAAAGTAACATTGCAAATCATCTGGCAAGTGCTGCAGACCACCTGGTTTGACTGAGAAACATTTCCTAAATGCAGAATTTGCCTAGCAACAAAGTCTGCTCTCCAGGCTGCCTCATGATTTACGGGGAAACAACTCCTCCAAATGGTGACTCAGAGGGAGTAATGGCTATTGCTCTGAATCATTCCCAGGGGGTGCTGCCTGTCTCTCTGTCGATTGTGTGGCAAAGACAGGGAGTATGGCTTCCCTAGAGTATGGGTTGACAAGAGCTGACATAATAGTTTACCAATTTTAAAAGAGCCAGGTTCCCTCTCTCACCTTCTCTTCTGGACACACATTTCTTCTGCAGAACATGTGCTGCTTCTGGCCCTCACTGTAGCCCTCCTAAGCTTAGTCACATCTCACTGTAAGGGGAGAAATGGAGCTCAGCAAGAAAGTGAGTAGCTTTTGGTATCTTAGGGAGTTGTGGCATGTCAGCAAGTGGTCTGATGGTGCTGCAACCAGTACTAACCAGTTGACCAAGGCTGGAACGGAATGAGAGGAAGTTCTAACCAGTTGGCCAAGACTGCAAAAACTTCTGTCTCTTTTTTATTATTTTTTTTTTGCCACCAGAGGACTGTGGTATTGCCTCTGTTTTATATGAAAACATGCTCTAAGCTTATTTTGTTACCCTTTTCCTCCTTCAGACTGACTCCCATGGCTTCTTCAAAGAGAACATGCACACACATGTACATGTTCCTGGCACCGTGTTTGAAAAGAACTCAACTAAGGAATTACTGTTGAATAATTCAGAGTGCACAATCCTTACAAAAATGTGAAGAACATCAATAATGTCACTGACTTAAAACTTCGGGAGGAAAGTACAAAAGATC